AACTAATTAGAACAAATTATAAAAATTGGAAAAAAAGAAGTAATATTACTACTAAAAAATATAATCTGATATTTCTTAACTACTTACAATATTTTGGGAATTACATTTTGTACTTTGTTTAGTTCACATTTCATAGTTATTTATGGTTCAGAATTTAACAACTTACATATAGCCACATATCTATTGTATAACAGAATTTGAAATGAATTGTTGAGTTCCTGGGCAATTTCTTTAATCTATCTGCTATGATTTAATGTAAAAATAGACTATAAACAATCACATGTTAAAAAAACTTTAGAAGCCTACCTGATAGGATAGATGTAATTAAAAATAGAATTATGTAAAGTAAAGCTATTGTCAGAAAAGTGAATAAAAGATGGCAAGAACATATTTGAAAAATAATGTAGTTTCCAAATGCCAAAAGGCTATGATTAAAATAATTAGAGGCATATGAATATTAAAAAAGTCAGAAACGAAGATGTCCCACATAAAAAGTTGGCGTGCCTATGAGAGAACATACAACAGGGATCCCTGGTTCCTTAGATGTAACTTTGAACCAACAGGGATCAGATTGCTTGACCCAAACTCTCAGATGCTCTCAGTCCCTGAACAGATTGAGCCAGGCTGTCCTTCTCCAGGGAGCTACCTCCTTGTCATAGTGATCCTCCTGAGAGACATAAAAGCAGGTATCCTGGGCACAAAGACCAGCCTGACCCTGCAGAAAGAGGCACTGCAAGAAGTGCACTTTCACTGCAGATGTGGGCCTTGGTGAGTGACTCGTGTCCTGATCTATGGACTGCACCTGACAGATCAGCATGGTAGTAATCTTGGAAATAGTTGCTTTATCTTATCAGCTGGAAGCCTTTGGGGATGAGCCCTGAACTCTGAGTTGTCAACACTTGCTCTACTTGTATATGCATCTGTGTTCAGTATTCATATTCTATAAAGATGATAGTGTTTTTATAATCTCAGTTATTTTTTTAAAAAAGCAAATTTGAGTTACAGAATCCCATTTTGTTTGATGAAGCCAATTCCATTCTATACATTCCATGTTTCAGGATAAAATTCAAGTTATTTGTAAATTTCCCCCAGAAAAAAATGACTTTCCCTAGTGGGTGTTCTTAATGTAATCCTAAAGGTTTTTACTTATGTTACCTAACTAAATATGTTATGAGGGCCTAGAATATATTGAATATGCCTTAAAACAGGCTCCTATTCTAATTGAATAAATTTGCTCACCTTCAACTTAGACTAAATGATGGGGCCTCAATTTACATGGTCCCTTCTAGAATAATAAATTTCCTGTCTATTCCATTAGTGAAATGTTGCATTTTATTTAGTTATCAAATATTAGCACAAAGAACCATATCCATGGATAATAGTAATGGCACATTTTTTCCAGAAATGTTAATAAAGATCCAGTGTCAGAACACTGTTCAGAGCACTGTTTAGGTTCTTGATAGGCAACATCCTTTTTTATTACTAGTAGAGTGCTTTGGGTTGATACTATTACTTTCTCAACTTCCACAGATAAATAAAATTAAGCTAAGGGAATGATTTCTCTAAGATAATTAGTAAGTGGGAGAGTGAAAACATAAACCTAGGTTTGCCTGGGTCCAAAGGGAGTGGTCCTGAACACCAAATGACCTGATTTACAATCAACCACAGTAGAGAGATGGGTTTTGACATATAGAGAGTCTGTGTGGGCAGGTTGGGCATTGAGTGGGCATTAGTTGGCAAGAACATTCTAGTAAGAGGAATATCACATCATAATACTTCCTATTATAGTATATGTTATTACATTTGACATCATTTAAATCATGAGTTATTCAAATAAGTCCATAACCTTATAACTTTGGAAAAGGTGGGAAGGGTTGAAATATGAGTTGGAAGCTGGTACTTCTATTATGCCACCACCTACCAATGCATAGTGAATGCAAGCAATACTGTTGAGATGTTTGTGAATCTATAAGCTCAACAAAAATAATATATTTTTGTATTATTACTATATGCTTTAAACTTTAGATATAAAATGTTCTGATTGCTATATATGTCAAATAAAGGTAATCTCAGAATCAGACCTGCTATCACAGAAATATTGAAAAAGGCATTTGTCCCCTAATGATGGCCCAACTGCAGATACAGTAGAGAGGAACCTTCAGAGAATACACATATAAAGTAATAAAAGGTAAATACAATTCGAAACCAAAGTCATTATAGAATGTTTAATATTCCTAGGGTATTTATTAAATATTCTTTTAATGTGAATATAAATATAAATATGTTAATTTTTTAATTTTTTTCTTTATGAAGTATAATAAATTAATATTCTATTCAAATATAATATTGTCTCTAAAATAAGCTCTAAAATTAAATATTTGATTAAAGCAAATGATACTTTTTAAGTGATAATACTCTATAAAGTATAATGATAACACTTATTTTAAGCATATTAACATTTATACCAATTTATTATAAAGTATTGGAAACAAATAAAAAGGAAACAGAGAAAGATAATATTCTCATCATCCAATTTCTACAACCATAATCATTCTGTTATTTTTCTCCAAGCTTGAATTTGATTTTTAAGATAAAATATATTTATGCTTAAATGTACAAAACTTACCTATACATTTTTGACAAATGTGTGTGTGTGTGTGTGTGTGTGTGTATTCCACCATAAAGATGGAATTTTTTTTCATTACCTTAAAATAACTGTTTATGTTCCTTCCCAGTTCATAACTGACTCTTCCCAGCTCTTGGCAATAATTCACCTGATAATTTGAATCCATGATTTCATGCTCTGGAACTCCATATAAATAGAATAATATAGTAAGTATTGTTTTGTTATTAGTGAATATCATTAACTCAGCATAATTATTTTTGATTCATTAATCCTTTTGCATTATAAATAATCCATTTTTAACACTGAAAAGCATCCTTTATGTAAACATTCTGTGGTACTGGTGATTGAACCACTTAACCACTGAGCCACATCCCCAGCCCTTTTTAAAATTTTACTTCGTGCCATATTTTTACTCTAAGCTTCTTAGGGTCTCACTAAATGGCTGAGGCTGACTTTGAACTCCCAATCCTCCTGCTCCAGCCTCCCCAGTCCCTGGGATTACAGGCGTGCAACACTGGGGTTGGCCTAAATTTGGCACCTTTTAAGTAACACTTTGAGGAGAACCCTTTGTTCCATAGCCTTGCCAAAATTTGGTGATTTAAGGCTTTTTAATTTTATTCAGTCCAGTGGGTGTGCAGTACTATATCTTTATACTTTCAACATACAATTTCTGGTGATTTTGAGAATTTTAATGTTATTGTGTATTTTACTTTTCCCTTATTTTTTCTTATTTTTAACTGTAAGTATATTTATATGTTCTTAACACAAATTCTTTTTCAAAAATAGGGATTATAGCTATTTCCTTCCAATCTGTGCCTTCTAAAATTCATTTTCTTAATAGTATATTTTAATATTTGACAACATGCAATGGGTTATTTTTTATGGTTATCATGTGTTGTGTCATAAAAAACCATTACTGGAGGGCAAAGATATTCTTCCTTGTTGATTATAAAGATTCTAGAGCTTTAAATTAAAAATGCTTGACTTATCTCAGAAATATAATTAATAAATATATTATGGGTATTGTAATGTTATAATTAGAGATTTTTTAAACTAAATATATTCAGTTTTACTAGCATCATTTCTAGAAAAATAACTCTCTTATCTTCATTGAATTGCAACATTGGTCTCTTTATAAATATGAAGTTGTTCATATAAAATGTGTCTATGTCTGCTCTATTCTGTTCTTTTTACCTATTCTTCCATTACTGTTAAAATGTCATTCTTCCTTACTATATTAGTTTTATAATAGGTTTGTAATTGTTTAACATATGTGTCACTATTTTGTTATTATTTTTCTAATGAATTTAGGGTATATCTGTCATTATCTCAAAATATATCTAATTTTTTGGTTATTGGCTGAAACTATTTTAAATTTATTGACCAATCTGAGAAGAACTAACATCTTAAAATGTTTCATTATTGAAAATAATGAATGTATACTTACTTGTGCACATATATACATATTGTGACTTCTTAATTTCTTTACCATGTTTTATCATTTTAAGTGCTTATCACTAAGTACTTCTTTTGTTATTACATCAGAATTGGTATTCTGAATGTTACAAAATTTTGATTTCAATGTTTTTCTATATAGAAAAGTATTGGTTCTTATACTAAAGTAATTATATTCTAAATTTTTACCTTAATATTTATATTATTTATGAATGAGAAACTTTATTCTTTTCATTTCAGTTTTGATTCCTACTTATTTCTTACTTCTTTTCTTTTTTTCCAGTGAGATATCAGATAGATTTGCCTATGTTCTTGATGTTTTTTTCCATTATATAGGAAAAGCCTTTTGGTGTCTCATCATCCAGTGTATTGGCTGAATTTGTGTTCATCAAACATCTTTCCTAAGTTTGCTAGAAGTTTTCTTTTTTTAATATTATGCATGTATGCTAAATTTAAATGTTTCTCCTACCTCCGATAAAATTATCATGTTTTTGCATTATTAATTTGTATGGTAAATCACGAATTTTTTAATCCATTAAAATAGCAAAACACTAATATTTGACTCATAACCATAGGAGTCTCATTAAGAGACTGATGTTGGTAACATAAAAAGAGAGAGAAACACACCTATGGAGCTTATATAGTTAAGCATTGCATAAAAAAATGAGTAAAGATCACTGTGAAACACATTACCACCAGAAAAGACAGCTTCTAACCTCAACAATCCTCAGGCGATATTAAATGGGACAGTTAATAATTTGAGTATCTCTGATAGTAATGGTCCAGTAATTCCCTTGGGCTGTTCTCTTAGAGTTTGATTGACTTGCTATTTAACATAGTGATATTTGACCAACGTGTATTCTCTTATGTCTCCACAGAAGTACTGAAGAAGACAGCGGAAGACCTTCCCAGAATCCTCAGCAGGATGTCCTCTGTCAATGGCACTGACTCATATCCCTCTGCCTTCCTCCTCCTGGGAGTCCCGGGTCTAGAAGCTTTCCATATCTGGATTGCCTTCCCTTTCTTTGCTGTTTACCTGATAGCACTTATGGGGAATTTCACAATCCTGTATGTGATCAAGAATGAGCAGAGTCTTCATCAACCCATGTTCTATTTTCTTGCTCTTCTGTCTTTAATTGATCTAGGCCTCTCCACTTCTACCATCCCCAAAATGCTGGGCATCTTCTGGTTCAACCTCAAGGAGATAAGCTTTGAAGGCTGCCTCATGCAGATGTTCTTTATCCACACCTACACTGGTATGGAATCTGTTGTACTCTTGGCCATGGCAATTGACCGCTTTGTTGCCATATGCTACCCATTGAGATATACCACAATCCTCACCAATAGAGTAGTGGCTATCATGGCCTCTGTGGTAGTGGGGAGGCCAGTCGTACTTGTCATCCCTTTCTGCCCTCTTCTCAAGCGACTTCCCTTTTGTGGACACTACATCATCCCTCATACATACTGTGAGCACATGGGAATTGCTCGCGTTGCCTGTGCCAGCATAAGGGTCAACATCATCTACGGTTTGTTCACCATTGCTACGCTGATCTTAGACTTGATCCTTATCGCCCTCTCTTATGTTCGGATCCTACAAGCTGTTTTCCGCCTTCCTTCCAGGGATGCCAGACTCAAAGCACTTAGCACGTGTGGCTCACACGTCTGTGTCATCTTAGCCTTTTATACACCCGCGTTTTTCTCCTTCATGACTCACCGTTTTGGTAGAAACATCCCTCGCTACATTCACATCCTCCTGGCCAATCTGTATGTAGTTGTTCCTCCTTGTTTAAATCCAGTCATTTATGGAGTCAGGACAAAACAAATTAGAGAACGAGTTGTGAGACTATTTGTAAAGAAAGAGTAACTCAAGTGTCCTCAGAAGTTCATAAATTCTCTCAGGTTCCTCTTTTCTTTCAGGCACATTTCTTAGAGTGCTGCAAATTGACATTAGGTAAAGAGCCACTCAAACTTTACTCCATGGATTTTTAGCGTGTAAACACATGCTCAGTGGTTCCCTTACATAATTTCTATTTTTTATTTCAATAATTCATATATTGTTTATTTCTCATTGAGTTTGAGTGAAGATGGAGGATATGAGGTACAAATAAGAGATGTAACAAGATTCCTGAATGTGTGGGACAATTATGTTTCTCCCTCATTAGTAAAATTTCTATATTGGTTTTACTAAAGGAAGATTTTGAGAGCATAAAATTCTTCAGGCTTTGACCCATAAATCAATATTTTCTAACTCTTCCTCTGACCTACTTATCTGTTAGTATTACAATATTTTAGGTTGCATATCTTAATTTCACATTTGTTTGACATCTGCATGTTGTTTATCCTTTATTTCTGTCTCTGAAAGAGTCAAATTCATTTTCTGTTGCCAACTCTACAATGATACCAAAACCAGAAGAAGACATCATGCAAAAGTAAAATCAATAGTCAGATTTTTTCATAAACAGCTATAAAAGTGATTAAGAAGATTCATGAAAAAATGAATTAATAATTATATAGTACAATCATATACCATGACCCAAGTAGCATTTATCTCACAAATGTAAGGGCAACTCTTACATCTGAGAATCATTCAATGTATTTTACCATATTATTAGAGTAAAAATATCACATTATTAAATGTAGGGAAAACATTGAACATAACCCATTGTTAATCTTTCATAAAATTTCTGAAAACTAAGAGCAGAGGGGGAAACTACCTCAGATAGAGGAAGGACATATATCAAAATACAATATCTTTCTTCACATTTACCACATTTTCAAAGTTTTGTAACCCACATCAGAATTTAATTTCAGAATACATTTATTACTAAATGAATCTCCAGTGGCTTTAGTCCTTTCCTGTTGTATTCCCAAATTCTTCACAGAGATTAACTTTCACATAACGACCTTATCCATATCTTTCTCCAAATACAAGACAATTATTTCCAATGCAGATTGAAGCCATTTCCAATATTTCATAACATCTGGCTAAGGAAAAGTATGTGTTATGTGGGCATATATGTAGTGATAAAATTTCAACAGTTTTGGAACTATATAGCTTGACAAAACTTCTCTGGTATAAAAGACATTATATCTTCTACAATCTGGTTCTGATATTCTTTTGTGTCTCTTTAGAGATTTCTTCCCACATATTATAAGACAAAAAACTGAGCTATTCATTATGAGCGGGTACCAGAAGTAGCCATGCGTTCTGGCATGAAGTCTTGTCACTTTCATTTTCCATAGACCTCTGGCAGAAGTACCAAACTTACTTGTTTTTGTTGATTTATCCCTCATTGCCCTATATTTTTTACTGCTACTTTCCCTCAATGCCTGTTTTTAGTGAGGACTCATTTCACTCCTATTAGTAAAAATGAAGAGAAGTAATTTATTTTATGATATATCCTTGTGTTGAAAAGAAGCTTTCAAATTAGAGTGAGAATAAACCATCATGCACATGTGTGTGTGTGTGTGTGTGTGTGAGAGAGAGAGAGAGAGGGAGAGAGAGAGAGAGAGAGAGAAAGAGAGAGAGAGAGAGAGAAATGGAACTGAGAGCTTCAAGTGCCTGATCCCTAATGCAGGGTCTGCCATACAAGGGAGAATGCCTAAATGAAAGATCCTTTCAGAATGTAGGTCTGTCAACAGAGAGAAAATTTAACAGTTTAACATGTTGAAGTATCCTCCTGTGCATGAACTTCACTGTTGAGCCTGGTGGCTTCATTCAGTTTATAATTCCCTCATCATGTAACAGAGGTTCCACTTGAAGTGACTGACATCACCCACACTCAAGTAATGGCTGTGGTCAAAGTCATGCACAATTTTGTATGTAGATACAGAATTTTGGAGATCATTAAGTATCCTTAAGTGTAATATATGCATGTCTCATAAATAGAAAGAAGATCAATGTCCCAAATCGATAAACGGAAATAAGAAGGGAATTCTGATACATTCTTTAACCCGAGGAAATGTCCTCATGACCTTTTGCTTCAATGATTGCGATCACTTTTAATTCAATTTTCTTTCTACATTTTCCTCTTAGAATTCATCCACCAAACAACCTTCAGAATGACTTTCCAAAATGCAATTGCAAATCTGACTATGTTGATCCTCTGTTAATAGTCAACAATCCTTCAAAGGCTATCTCTTGTATAAAGAATACTGTTGCAACTTTGTGTGTGTGCTTCTCTTACAGGCCTTGCCATATGACAGAGGGCAGTGGCAATATTTACTCTTCATTTATGTTTCCAGAAATCTCTCTTATATTCACTTGATCTCAGTCTTCAAGAGTTGAGAATCATCTTACTCTAAATGTGACCCAAGACTGATATTTACTAGTTCTTGTTTCTGGGAGACATCTTTCTCCAAAAACCCCCTAAAATTTTCTGACTTTATTTTCCAGGATAGAGACCAGTTTGCTCTTGATAAATAAATCTGGAGGTCAGAAGGATCATGATACTCTGGGAGAGTCAGAAGGATAATGATGCTCTGAGATCAGTCCAAACGTGAGGAAAAATGCATTGACTCTTCCATCAACATCTATATGTGATGGAAATTTGAACGGAAACAGTTGATACAACCAGGCTCTTTATATGCTAGACTACTCCTCAGATCTTACCAGTAAATTTTTCCTAAAAATTGGGAACTGAAAGTGATGGCAGTTTATTTTATGAAAAAAGGGGGTGTGGGAATAGGGGTTTTAAAGCTAGCTTTATTCAATGATTTCTTTGTCCATTTTTTCTGTTGCATATTTATATTTTTCCTCATTAAAATATAGATAATGAGTCAAGCTAATGTAGCTTAGAGTTAAAATATTGTCACAGGTAATTAGGTAATTTAAAAAAATTTTTTGGTCCTCCTATAATTAAGGACATAAGCAATCTTGTAGCCAAACTTTCTGGCTTATAATCAATTAGATTTCAGTTAATTCTAATATTTCTTGATTTTTTTGGAAATAAAAATGGTTAATGTAGAGGCAACTTACTATTTGGCTCTGTGGAAATATGGCAGGTGTTGAGTAACGTATAAAGTAGGGAAAAGATAGGAGAATTACAAGCCATACTTTACTATGAGAAATGTAATTACCATTAACTTTAGAATTTGACATATAATCTTGCCCTTTGGTTGATATTTTCTGAGGGTAAGTAGTTCTCAGTGAAAATAAGAGACTTACTATAGTATTTGCCTCTGATCCCTTATTTTGTCAGACTGTAGGACACACATTGGTATTTGATGTATATGAAAAGGAATATTACTCAACCATAAAGAAAAACAAAATTATGGCATTTACTGGTAAATGTGTTGTCAAAAGCTTGGTCCTTGTCCCTGTTGCTAATCCAAAAATCAGGACACAATTTTGAGAAAAAGGCAAAAGAAGGTTTATTGCTTTGCTAGCAAAGGAGAAACACAGGGGACTCATGTCCCAAAGTCTGTGATTCTGCAATCAGCAGAAACGGGGCTTTTTAAGAGGCAACTCAGAGAAAATGAGATTAAGGAAGAGAGATCAGGAATAAGATCAGGGGGAAAAGATCAGGGAGTAGAAGGCTAGGGAAAAGAGGATCAGGGAGAAGGTCAGGGAGAAGAAGGTTGGGAAAAAGAAAAGAATATATAAGTTTCAAAGTTACAAGGGGTATAGTTAAAGCATCAAGGGAACCCCTGTTACAAGTGGATAGAACTGGAGATTATCATGCTAAATGAAATAAGCCAATCCCACAAAACTAAACCCTGAACATTCTCTCTCATGGATACTAACTCACAATGGGGGTAGCGGGAGTAGAAGTTCACTGGATTAGACAGGTTAGATTAGAGGATGGGAGGGGGGATGAGAATGGGAAAAGCCGTAGAATGAATTGGACATAACTTTCCCATGTTCACATATGAATACACAACCAGTGTAACTCCATATCATGTACAGTCACAAACATGGGAAGTTATACTCCATGTATATATGATATGTCAAAATGTCTACATAACTAAAAAGGACAAATAAAAGATTTCAAAAAAGAAAAACTTACCCTGGCTGGAGTCTTGCATGTTACACTGAATAGTATACTTATATATTTTTATTCAATGGACTATTATTTGGCCATAAAAATAATTTACATTTTGACTTCTGCTAAAACATGGATGAATCTTGAGAAATGCTAAGTGAAAGATGTCAGATATAAAAGGCTACATATTAATTATATGATTCTACTTACATGAAATATCCAGAATGCATAAAGCAGAAAATTCATTAGTGGATTCCAGAAATGAAGAGCCAAAGGAAATGCCCTGACTGCATTTTGTGAAATATTTCGTTATTAGTGTGATTTTTATGCTCTAGAACTCTCTAATGATAATAAATAAGAACATGCTTATGTTACTGAGGAGCATAGTAGAACTGAACGTCTTTATATTGCTAAATTCTAGTGTCTATTGTAGCCCTTAGGACACTGCAATTTATTTATTTATTTATTTATTTATCTATCTATCTATCTATCTATTTATTTATTTATTTTTTATTGATGGAAAAGGGAAAAAAAAGAGGAGCTTGTCAGACAAAAAAATGGGATATTAATTGACAATGATTATAATTTGTCTCAAAAATAATTGCCTCTAAGACTGGTAGTTATCATATTCTTTTTGCTTTCGTTTCTTATTTGGTTATACCATAAATATACTGTCCCACTCTTTATTTTTCCAGTACAAAAAATTCTCTGAAAGAATTTATATATTTGCTTTAATTTTTCTAAGAGGATAATTTCTCATCAGTTATTCACTCTGTATAATGATGCCACAAATACTGGAATATCTAGTTCTCCAAAGCAAAATTAAAATGAGTTATTTAGTTATTAACATTTATTTTCCCATTCAACAGCTTCCTCATCT